TATATATATATATATAAAGCAAAAACTCTTAAGAGAATGTAGTAAAAGTACAATTATAATAGGAGATTATAATATACCTTTTCCAGAATCAGACAAATCTAGCAGACAAAATAAATAAATAGGAACAGAGGAACAGAATAGAAAACAACCAAGAAACTTGACCTAAGAGACGTATGGAATTATGTAACTATCTCATAACGATTTCTTTTGTATTTTAATGGAACATTTACAAAAGTTAATCTTGTATTTGGTCCCAAAGAATATCTAGGACCTCTAAACTAACTCACAAAAGTTGAGGTTTTATAGGCTACACTTCCTAATTGTAATAATTTTTTTAAAAGAAACAAATAATGAAAAGGTGATACCACAAAAAATCTTCTTTAATTACTTAGAAATTAAGAAACAACATTCTAAATAACCTTTCATCAAAATGTAAAAAGAACAGTAATTACCAACCCCTACAAAAGAATGCTGCAGAAAACTTCATAACAAAACATACACAACACAGCTTAAACTATCCCAAGTGGGAATTTATAGCCTTAAATGCTTTATTATTATCAACGTAAGAAATGTCCAGGCCTGTGAGAATTTTTATGAGTTTGTTTGAGCCAAACTGATGACAATTGCTGGGAAGCAAAATCTCACTGCCCTGAGACAGTTAAGAAGCCTCGCTGCTTCCACACCATTCTGGAGTTGTGAGCTATACCAAGGGCATAGCTTCTATTAGTGCAAATACTGACTATTTGATTTTTGGTCAGTTGACAAGACTGAGTTACTGTGGAAGTTACTGCATATTCAGCTTGGTAACATTCCTGTTCATCTTGCAAAGATATATCTGTAAACCAAATTAAGCTAGCATTACCAATAAGAGTTTCCTGTAAACCATTCCTTGGAACAAGAAGGTGGTCAGTAAGCAAAACACAATCATGGATGTCTTCATTCTGCAAAAAAGGTAGCAAAGTTGCTGGGTGAAGACTGTTACATCGAGTTAAAGTAATATTAGGTGCAGAAATCAAGAGCCAGTCGACTGACAGAAGTGCTGAGTGTGATGAGAATTCAGAGGAGATTCAACAGAATGAGGAACATAAACAAAGGAGAGCCCATAACTATCTTTTCTGTTTGTTTGCATAACATGTCTATGGCAGATGGCTATCATGTAGGGAGGGAGCCCTTTGGTTACTGAGTCTAATCGCTGACTATAATATCCTATGATAATCACAATGTTTTAGAGTTAAAACTTCCATAGTATTTCCTTTATTTTTATGTATAAACAATTAGAAAGTTTATAATTAAGGTGACCCAGAGCTAGAGCTTTAGATAATTCTTTAGAGATTTCACATATTGTTTCCCTTCTGGGTTCCATTGAGTTGGATCAGGTCAATTTGATTTTAATAAGGCATATAGCAGTTGGGCCATTAATGAAAAATTCAGAATCCAATGCTGACAGTATTCAGTTTGACCTAGGAACGCACTAAGCTTTTTTGTTGCTGTTGCTCATTTTTAGAAGAGGAAAAGATATTATTCCTCTGAGTCTTTCAGGGTTAATCAGTAGCCCATCTTCAGATGTGGGATGGCCAAGGTATTTTACTCGAGGCAAGCAAATTGAAGCTTATCCTTTGAGACCTTATGTCCTTTTATGACTAGCTGTTGTAAAGGGTAAATTGTGTCCTCCTGGAAGCCTAATATGTTCTAGAGGACAAAAGTAAAGCATCTACATATTGGATTAGAGTGAAAATCTCTGGAAAATTTAACACCATTCAAATCATCTTTTAGTATCTAAGACAATAGTTGGGACCCTCCATAACCAACCTTTAGTATGTGTCCCTGAATGAGTCAATTATTTAATTACAGTTGAGTTGGAATTACCTATGGAGCTCCTGCACACTGTGAGGATATACCCTCTGATACCTCCACAAAGATTGAGTCATCTAAGAATACCAGAGAGTCGAGCTAGAAGGAGAAAACCCCCCTATTTTCAGTGCTGAACGATTCAGGCTCCCATTTATCCAGCAAAAGGTTTTTTTGTTCAGACCCTCAGAAAGCAATTTCATTGAAAGACAAAGTTAAAAACCAGTCACCCATTTTAATACTGTCCTGAGTTTTTAATTCTTACCTTTAGCTTGGTTTCTCTCAATCTTTAACCTTTAGCTCCACCTCAACTTTTTTTTTTTAAGAGCTTAAATAATGTCAGGCCTCTTACCTTAAAACAGGGAGTTCTGGAATTCCAAGGGAAACTCGCCCAACTTCACCCTGATGCAAAACAATGCAGACTGAGGAGCTGTTGGGGCACAGTGGGCTTCTGCTGGTACCAAGTCTAGGTCTGGGTCTGCAAGGTGGTCCTGGGTGGGCTTCTTTGGAATCCTGCCCCACTACACCAAGTAAATGTCAACATAAGAAATGTCCAAACCTGTAAGAATTTTTATGAGTTTATTTGAGCCAAACTAATGACAAATGCCAGGAATCAAAATCTCGATGGATCCAGAGAATGGCAGTTTTGCACTTATTTTATACATTACAGCCAAAGGAAGAGTTACGTGTGAGGGGGTTACATGAAATCCATTGGCAACAGATTAGGGAGGCAGCAGAAAGCAAAGGGGGGATCTCTGGGACTGGATAAAAAGTAGAAGGAATCGATTCATACTTCTTTATATTGGTGGGAATGGGATAGTTAACAGTCAACAATGAACAAAATAACAATAACAATGCGGGCATTTGTGGCCTCTCCTCTAGTGGCTGTGCCCTGAGGGGTCCAGAAGAAAAAAGCAAATTACCCTGACATTCCAAAGGCATGTTATCATAGATGCAAAAAGACAATAGACAGGCATAGTTAAGGTAAAGATTGACCTTTGTCAGGAAAGATACCTGCCTAGACTATCTGCCATGACTCGGTTTCAGCTAGAAAGTTTTAATTTCAGACTTTCCTAGGTGGTTACTTTCTGTCTCTGAGTTTGTAAGGCCACCCTGCAGGCCTCCCCTGAGCTTGTCAGGTTTAGTACGTAGCCCCTTTTCCGTTCCAAATTATTTTTAAAAAGAGAGAGAGAGAAATAAACTCAGAGCTCAATCTAGGAAATTAGAACAAGAACAACACAATGAATCAAGGAGCTGAGAGAGTAAAGTTAATGAACAGAAAACAAGGACGATAGGATCAGTACATCTAAAAGCTGATTCTTATGAAGACTCCCCTAAGGAGCTGAAGCCCAGCCTGATGCTGGGAAACGCAGGGAGAGCCAGTGAACTAGTGTAATCACGGGCTCGTGGACTTGGCTTCACAGGGTGCAGTCAGGAAATAGCTTTGCTTTCTTCCACCACTGCCTCACACTTTTTTTTTTTTTGGTCAGAAATATTTCCTTGCTCTTCGTGACATTTCCAGTAGATCCCATGGCTTTTTGCCCACTTTTGATTCTAAAAACAGTCCCATTTTTAGATATTTTGTAGTTTGATCCAATCTAAATGAAAACTTCCACATCTCATGCAATTCAATGCTTTTCCTCTTTTCCCAGCTCGGGCCTCACCCTCACTGCTTTCTAGAACAGAGGTGAGGAAGGGCTGTGATTGCCCCTTTCACCTGTGTCCCCTCTCCCCAGTGCTCCTCCAGAGTGAGGCAGGGAGTGTGTGGAAAGGGAAAGGACTATTGGTACTACTTCTTTTTTATTTTATTTTTAATTTATTGAGGTCATGGTTAATAACATTATATACATTTCAGGTGTACAACATTACAATTCGATATCTGTATATTTCATTGTGTGCTCACTGTCGAAAGTCTAGTGTCCTTTGGTTACCATATATTGTACTATCTCTTTTGTTAGTCATACACCCTCTCTCGTGACACCTTTTTAAATTCTGGTTCCTTCTTGGCGTAAAGCCACTGAGTCTTTGGAGGTTTCCTTCAGAGACCTTCATACCTGCACCCTTCCCTGGAGCAGACAGTTACACTCACCAGCTGACCTCTAAAATACCCCCAGCCCCTGACCTCTGCCTTTTGGGTTTTGGCGGGAAGGGGGTTATTTTGTTTTGTTTTGGAATTCAATTCAGCCTGCCCAGTAGCTCTCTTTCTAGGAATCACTTCAAGATGACCCAAGCCTTCTACCTAAAGGTACTATGAAAAAAATGTAAGCATCCTTTTGCTATTAGATGGAGGAAATCCACCTAATTATATTGCAACCCACCCTCCCTGCCCTGTTGTAGGAACTGCTCCAATCCGCCTGCCTGCTCCAGACTCCTCGAGGAAAGAGACAAGCTCTAGGGCTCTGCAGTGACCCTCAGATTTCAGGAGACACAGGTCAGCCTCTCCTGATGAACTCCTGCTGGGTTCAGCCCTGGCCCCGCAGCCAGCCGGGGGGAGAAATGCCACCCCCTTTCCTAATAAACGGCCACTCCTACAAGCATGTTGCTTAAAGCTTGCCTGACCGGGCTTGCGGTGGGAGCTGAGGGAGCGGAGAGCAAGCACTCGCACGCCCATCTGGGCTGGCAACTTCTGCCCCACTCGCTCCCTTCCATCCCGCTTTTGAACTTCTAGTTTTCTCTTTTGTCAACTGGAGGAATGTGCTGAGATGAGTGATGAGGTACCATTGGCCGTCCATCCGGAATACAATGGTGAATCTCATACCATAACAAAAACATAAACAAATTCCAGATGATTAAAGACTTGAATATAAAAAATAAAGAATGACAATTAAAGCACTACAACTGAGGATTTCTGGATAACCTTTAAATAAGACAGAAGAAAATCTAGAAGCTATAAATAAAAAATCGGGCATATTTGAGTATGGAAAAAAGCCATGAAGAGCCCATCCCTTCCCTTTCTCCTTCCTTTCCTTTCCTTTCTCTTCTCTTCTCTTCCCTCCACTCCCATCCTTTCCCCTTCCCTTGCCTCCCCTACCAGGATAATTCAGCCTAAAACCACAGGGGGTGGGGGGAGCAGTGGGGGGAGTTGCATAATGACCCAGAATGAGCTGTCCTGTGAGTGGTGTGAGGAGGGCGTGGGGGAGGGAAGTCCCAGCACAAGGGGACAGAGCCTGGGAGGGACAATAATGAGGCTGTCTCCCCAGAGCAGCAGACTGGAGCAGGGTGCCCGAGGGGAGTGAGGAGGGCTGCTGTGCAGGAGGGCAGCCCCGAAACGGATTTCAGAATTGAGCAGGATAAAGGCGCTGTCCACCTGGCGGGGTGGCCAGGTGTGAACCGTCAGAGACCACGCTGGGTAGAGTGTGTCGGAAAGGGAGGGCTCACACTGGGAGATGTCCATGTGGGACGTCAGGGCCCAGGCAAAGTGAGGAGGGTGTCTGCACGCCACAGGAGGACAGCAGAGAACATTTAGGGTGAAGACGCTGCCCTCGCAGGCGGCTGGCTTGGACGAGATGTTGGAGCCTGAACTGGGTCGGGGGGACATCCTTGTGGGAGAGCCTGTGTGGGGAGCCCAGTGGCAGGACGCAGGTGGAGTGAGAGGGGTTTCTTCAGGGAGGAAGGGCCAGCATAGGGTAGGGAGACTGGGTATACAGAGGACTGATCAAAATTACAGAGGATTGATAATACTGAGGAAAAGAGTAGCAAGGGAGGGGAGGTATAAACATGGAAAGGGAGGAAATACAATCAGCTCTGTGGTATTGATTGGAATTAGAAGTATCTTGGGCTCATGGGTTTCAATGTTTATAGATATAGAAATAAATATGGATGCCAATGTGTGTGTGGTCTGTGCGTGTGTGTGTGTGTGTGTGTGTGTGTGTGTGTGTGTTCCTTATCTGTCCACTGAGATGGCCTGAGGTAGAGATACTGCAAAAGCAATGAGCACAGTAGTACCAGGATATTGATTTCTGAAAACCATCCTTCACTTAAAGGAGCCAGGGCTCCTTGGAGAAGTGAGATTCCAGGGCTGGAGCAGGGTAGTTCCTAAAGGAACCTAGGATATTGCATAGGACCAAAAAGCAAGAAGATACTTAAAGAATTTGGGGACATAGCAAAGGAATACAGAAGCCAGATTGAAGGAATGCCCACAAATCTAGGACAAATTGAGCATCAAAACAAGTCATGATAGAAATGCTTATAAGCCTTTGAATAAAATTGAAAACCATGAAAATATAAATACATGAATAAATTGAAAGTTTGAGAAGAGAATATTTACATAGCCTCAAAATACATCTTAAGAAAATACTACAGGGAGAAGACATAACTTAACAAACAGTGGAGAAGACTGGAAGACACCATCATAGTCAAGGTATCAATTTGGACAACACCAAATCCAAATCACCAGCCACCTGCTAGGATGCCGGGAACACAACATCACTTCCGTGAATTTTCTTCCAAAGGTGCATAACCTGAATCTAATAATGAAGAATATTTTCAAACCCAATTTCTCCAAAATATCTGGCCTATAATCTTCAGAAGAATTCAAGAATGAGAAATGATTTCCAAGCTGGCGGAGATTAAAGAGGCATGATAATAAATACAATGTGTGATTCTGAACTAAACAGGCCTTTGCTCCAAAGACTACTGACGATGACGATAATGATGATGATGATGATGGTGAAGGTGAAGGAGAAGAGGGAGATAACTGGTGGTAATGTGTGAATGTCGATGTCCCGGTTTTGATGGCTGTCGTGTGGTTGTGTAGGGCAGCATCTGTGAGGTGATGGGGCACCGTGTTGGCAACTTACTCTCAGATGGTTCAAGAAAATGAAGGTCCTTTATATAGTGCCTGCGACTTTTCTGTAAATTTGAGATTGCTTCAAAATTTTTAAAAATTAAAAAGTGAATTTATATGTAAATATGTAATTTATAGATAAATATAAAAAATAGAAGGTGAAAAGACTGATTCCCAATTGGGAGAAATGTCAGTAATGCCAGTGTCAGATGCAGCTAATATCTTTAACATACAAAGGGCTCCTGTGAAACTGATAAGATCAAGACTAACAAACTCAAGAGAAAATCCAAACCACAAGTAAATAATAAACAAAAAGAGGTTACCTCATTCGTTGTCAGGGACATGCAATTTAAAATAGTAATCCGAGATCATAAGGCATCTGCCAAATGATATAAATTAAAAAGAATGGCAGCCAGCAAGGGTGATTGGGGATGTGGAATGAATATTTTCATACCATGATGATAGAAATCTAAATTGTTTAGTTTTTGTGGAATGAAATCTGTCAATATCTGTTAAAAATATGCATTCCCCTTGACCCAGAAATTTCATCCTGGGGAATCTATTCTCTACATAAGGATATAGAAACAAGAATATTTATTTCAGCTTTGTTTTTAGTAGCAAAAAACAAAATAGTGAATGGCTACTAATAGGAAAATAATTGGGATACAACCATTCCGTGGAAAACTATGCGACTATTATAAAGAATAAGTTAGTTCTATGCCAGTTGACTAAAAGGGATTCCTAGAGTATATATTTAAGAGAATAAAAAGCAA